TTAACTTCTCCATGAATTCAGCCAAATAATAGGCCATGTATAAATGAAGTTCTCATTTGGGTTACAATAAGGTAGTTATTTCTACCTAACATTCAAGCTTTGGGCTAACACCCAATTTTTAATAATTTACAACACTTTGAACTCTTTGGATATTGGTGCTATATAATTAAGAACACTAAATCAGATTGTTTACCCTACCTGCTTCTTGGTCGTGAAATAGACCTGGATCTTGATCTGGATCTTGAACGGGATCTTAATAAAAAGAAAAGAGAACACAATTACACAAGCATTCTTTTAGAAGGGAGCACCTTTCCAGGCAGTATAGACAAGGATAGGGGAGCTAAGACAAGTGCTGCATGACTTGACACCTTACACCCACCCTATGCAGTACAAAAGATCAAACGGAGATTTCAAATACAAAGAAAACCACTATTTCAAACACCTGCTTCTGTCATACACAATCGGGCACTACTCCTGTGCAAGTGCAATAGTCCCATTTTCAAACACTAATAACCAAAATTTACACAGGGTTCCATCTGAGAAAATTGCTGACTTTTTATTGTTACCACCATTGAAGGTCCTTAATTTGTCAAACCAAGTTAGGTTGACTATATTTTTTAAAAACCTTGAGATCATATAATTAAACTGCAATAATTTTCTTAAATTGGTAACTCAATTATTGTATCTAAAGGTTTTGATATTAAACAGCAGTAAAGGCCAGTGACTTTTATATACAACTGCTTCTGCATCTGTAGTACAAATTCCTTATTTATGAAATGTATCCAAATGTAAGGTTTTCTCTTATCCAGCTGGTGTGGTGGCATACAATTTTAACTGCAGCACTCAAGAGGCAGCAGACAGATCCAGTCTCAAATGTACTCATTCCAAAAATGTTTTAAATCTTACACTTCACTTACTGACTCTATGTTTGTGTATGTAAATGCCATTAACCTTCCAGAATTCAGAAAGCAACTGTGGGAACTGTTTCTCTCCTCCCCCAATGCGGGGGTGGGGGGGTGGGGGTGGGTGGGGGGTGTTTCTAGGTTCAAGATGGCAAGCAAGCTCTATAGCCTAACATTTTCCTTTTTTTAAACAGTATATTATTTATTTAACTTTATGTGCATTGGCATCGGAGCCCCTGGAACTGGAGTTACAGATAGCTGTGAGCTGCCATGTTGGTGCTGGGAATTGAACCCAGGTCCTCTGAAGAGCAACCAGTGCTCTTAACTGCTCCAGCCCCGCCAAATATTATCTTTTAGCCAGTTAGCATCAGGAATTATTGACTTTTTTATTCTGTTCTGAGGTGGGGTGTGAACCTCATTATGCTCCCCTTCTGTCTTCAAATCCCCAGTGCTAGGACTACAGTAGTGCATCACCACATTTAATAAATAACTTTTACATCTCAAACATTCTGAAGTACCTCATGATACTTCACTGTGTCATTAAGACATGACAAACCATCATCTACAAGTAAGCAGGAAAAATGTGTTACATACTGGAAATACCTCGATCCTTTTATGGAACCAGACCTAGATCTTCTGAGTGAAGCTGATCTTGATCTACGAAGAGACACAGACCTTGATCTTCGAGGAGATGCTGATCTTGACCTAAAAATTAAAAGAAATTCTAAGCCCATCTCTTCCTTTTGTTTTACTTTTAAAACTTGAATTTTAGCTGTGTGGTGTTGGCACATAATTGTAATCCCAGTAATTGAGAGGCAAAGGCGGGTGGATCTCTGTAAGTTCGAGGCCAGCCTGGTCTACAGAACAGTTCCAAGACAGAGCTCTTAGAGAAACCCTGTCTCAAAAAACCAAAATCAACCCTTGAATTTTACAAGATTTCTCACCTCCTTCCCCGGCTCCTGCTGCGTGAGCGCGAGTATCGCCTTCCCCTGGATCGGGAATGTGATCTAGATCTTGACCTATTTTTCAAGTTAGAAAAATACAAAATATTAGACCATAACTCAGTTTTAGTGTTTGTGTACCTCTGCTGAAATCAAATCTCAAACTATTTAAAATTTAGTATCTCATTTGGAAAAACTCTGGGCCTATAATTTTTTTTTTTTACTACCTAAAAAAAGATTTGTTAAAAGCTGAATTACAACTTAGAATTACAAAATATAAAGCACCATAATGTGTATTTAAAATAAACCTTGCAAGTTTGCAGGTCGACCCTCTTTGGCCCATGGTCTAGTAGTAGGTCTAGTAGATCTAGACGATCTAGAAGTATCTATAGCCGATCGCTGCATCTAGATGTTTTCTTCAATCTAACGACGATCAAACTGACAGCCAAAAGAGCCAGGTGAGGCTTGATTGACGCAAGAAGATTTTTCTAGTTGGGAATGTGGTCAATCTGGTGTTCCTCTTTCTAAAGCGGAGGGGGGCCCCAATTGTAAGCCAAATTTACTGTTACGGCGATCACCGACTCAAATTTTCTGCCCTTTAAAGAATAAGGTGAAGCTAGGTGTAGATGACTCGAGGGGATCTGGCCTCTTATGCTGATCACCTCAAGGTCTAGGAGGATCTTAATTGTCGGATTTGCAAGGCGCCTCAGCATGATATCATAAGGCTCGTGACATTCTGAATCAAGGCGACTGACTCAAACGAAGAAACCTGAAAGGTTTTGACCAGGTTGATTATTAATATATTAACATTTTTAATTAAACAAAAATTGTAAAATACACCTGTACAATTAACATTCAAGCTTATAGAAAAACACTAGTTTCTGCCTTGCTAATAAAAGAATTACTTTGATTAACTAGAATACCAACCATTCCTTTATTAATTAAATACCTGCTTCTTCTTCGACGGCTATAGCGATGACAGTCATAAGCATAATGTCCCTTTTCACCACACTCATAGCATCTATCATTAGGATCAAAGGGACGTCGGGCAGGTGGCCTATCAAAACGAGATCTCCGAGGCATGCCTGTCGATAATTCAACCCTCACTCGAGAACCACAAATCACTCTACAAAAGAATGAGAAAACACTAAAGTTAAAACATTCATGCGATTCTTCTAAATTCACAAGAACTATCAACACACTACACTTTCCCCCTTAGAAGCTTTGTCTTTGTTTGCAAAGCTCTTCCAATTGCACTTTTGGTCTTAAATCTTAAAATTATCAGGCACCTGTAATGCCAGCACTAGAGGCTGGCTCCAACACTACCTGAGCTTTATGGTGAGTTCCAGGCCAGCATAGGTTGGAGAGAGAGTCAAAATACAATGCCCCCTCCACCGAGAAATCTAAGATTAGCACAAAGATTATGATCTAGCCCACAGGAATATTTTAATAAAGTTCTAGAACAACCCACTTACTTCCCATCCAATCCTCGAACTGCATCTTCTGCATCTCTAGGATCTTCAAATTCCACAAAGGCAAATCCTGGAGGATTTCTGGCAATCCATACAGTTCTTAAGGGTCCATAGTAACTGAATGCCCTTTCTAACTCTCCTTTGCCAGCACCAGTTCCCAGGTTACCAACATATACCTTGGTTTCTGTTTAAAAATGCAAACAGAACAAACGTTATTCCAAGTGTATCTAAAGTTTGATTCATTTCCTTACAACAGACTAGCCTTAAAGCTGTGCAAGGTACAATGTTTTGTTTGGGGGTGTTCAAGGAGACTGGAGCCAGTAAGTGATCTACTACGGAGCCACACTCCAAATATTTATCTATCCATCGCTCAAGTGACTTTCAGGCCTTCAGCCTCCCTGAGGCAGATGGGACCTAAAAGGCATGCGCCACCAAGCCCTGGCTCCTTTTATTTGGCGCTCTCCACCAACGGTTAAACCGTAGCCGTAATAACCCCGTGAAACGATGAAAAGCCCGACCGACTCGTGACCGAGCTCTGGCGTTCTTCAAGGGTGGAAACCTCGGCAAGACCAGGCTGCAAAGGAGCGTGGTGGAGCAGAGGCGCGGGGTGGGCCCCGCCTCCCCCCCCCCCCAGGCCCGGCACAGAGAGAAGGTCTCCCGCTTAGCAGGGCCGCCCCGGGTCCCTTGTCCCACCCCAGCAGGCGCAGGCTCGCCCCAATCCCCGCCCCAGAGCCAGAAGCCACGCTTGAAACGGCTTTAAAAGAAAAAAAAAAAAAAGCGGAAAAAGAAAAAAAAAAAAACAAAACAAAACCAAACCATCGCCGGTCGCAACAACCATCTTTCCCCTCCCGCTCGCTCCGCTCCATTCCGCCACCTCAACCCGTTGCTGGGGGCGACGCAGCGGCCGCCCGTCCCGTTCCGTCCCGGTCTCCAGGCCTCCAACCCAGCTCGCGACGCCCCGCTGCTTCTCCCCCGGCTCCAGTGGCGGGAAAAAGCGCTGAGGAAATGCGCCACCACGCTCGTCCAATGTGCTCAAAATGGCAGCCGCGGCCGCCGAGGGCGGGGGGTGAGGGGGGGAAGGAGGCGGCGGCGGCGGCGGCGGCGGCGGGCGGGCGGGCGGCAGTGCGGCGAAGGGCAGCCCCGCAGCGGCGGGCGGCCCACACCAGCTTCCCGCCCGGGGTCCGCCCGGGGCCCGCCCTGTCCCCCAGCGCCCGAGGCCTCGGGCGCCCACCGGCCGGCTCCCGCTCTCCTCCACCCCGCCCCCGCGGCCTCCGGCTTCGGCCGGCGTGCGCCCGAGCCGCCATTACGCACGCGGAATAACCGTCTCCAACCGCCGCCGCCGCCGCCGCCGCCGCGGCCTCGCTCTGCTCAGCCCGCCCACAGCACCGTCCTTCTCCCGGGACGGAGGCGTGAGGGGTGGGGTGGGGTGGGATGTCCCCAGCCGCTTACCTCCTCCATACCGCCCGTAACGTGACATGATGGCCGGCCCGCGCCCTCGGCTCTAGCTCGCAGTTGGGTCACACAGCCCGAGTAGCGCGGAAGCGGCCGCGACGACCTTTCCCCCGGCGACACTCCCGGCGGCACTAACGAGGAAGAGGCCGGAGCCGCGCTTATATAGGCGGCGGGCGGGGGAGGGATTCTTTTTTTTTTTTTCTTGCGCATGCGTCGTGTCAACGTTCTGCGCGGCACAAAGGAGCTGGGCGGAAACAGCCCGGAGGCGGAGCGGAGGGGGAACTGAGAGGCCGAACTCCAGTCGCGGGCGGAGGGATACGTTTCCATGGGAACGCCAAGATCTCGCCCGTAAACCTGTGGCCTGCGGGGTGGCATCCTGCTCCCTCCCCTCCCCTTCCCCTTTTCCTGAACCCTAAGGCTCCTCCTTACCTTCTCCCAACCCTTCTTCCTCTTCGTTTTAATCTAGGAATTGACAGCGCAAGTTACCGTAGTGTACAGGTGCATTAGACCGTTCTGTTGGAAGGCTAAAATTTAACCGCTGATGTCGCTGTCGCCACCTCTCGGTGTGGGGTACCTGGCCTAGTCTTCTACTAAGTGATCTTTGAGGCTCATCAGAGGTAATTAGACTGACCAGAGTGAAAACGCCCCTTACCCCCTCCCCCCCGCCATTCTGCTCATGGTCCTTTGCATCACAGGCCTCCAAAGGGGTGACTCCCCACAGGGATTCTAGTTAATACCTCTCCTATGTGCACCGACAGTCACTAATCTGTCACCAAGTTAGTTCTGAATCCTTGGGAGTTTTGCCAAACAAAGGGATAGAGTTGGGGCGGGGGCGGGGGGGGGGGAGTTCGGGCAATGTTAAAATTGTGTCAAAACTAAAAGTTGGCAAGCTTGCTGAGCCGCGACAATTCTGAAATTACTTGCATCTGAGGCACAAAGTATTTATTTTTCCCTTCTAGTGCTTTGGAGTTTTTAAAGTTGTCTTTGAGTTTTCTATTTAAAACCTTGCAGCTCAGCCACTCAACATACATCAAATAAGTGGAACTCTTGTCTCTATATGGCTTAAATCTGCCTTCGATTTTACACACTGTGTTTGCCAGAAGCCAGCTCTAAAAATTGCGTTAAGTTCTTTTTATCAACCACCACAAAATACAGACATTCCGTCACAAATACTTGGAATATTCAAGAGTTGGAAACTTTACACATAAAAGAGGAAATCTTTAGGTATGTGTATTTTTCTCTTTCCAGTCCTCATTCGTTGTGTATAGATTCAAGTGCAGAGTACAGAGAAAAACCTACTTGGTCAAAAAGCATGAGACTCTTAAATGCTACCAATTTCTATATGTGTTGATTTTCAAATATTTCAAATCCTAGTGTCTCAACAAAGTGTCTGATGAGAAAATAGAAACTCTATACAGTATGTTATATCTGTTCTGCCTCTGCTTGCTTGCCACAGGGTCTTCCAGCAGTCCAGGCTGGTCTCAGATTCACTATGTATGCAACCCAGAGCTTTTATACATGCCAGAGAAACACTCTTCTAACCTGAACTACATCCCCAGCCCTGTTTTTTTTTTTTTTTTTTTTTTTGGTTTTATCTGCTTCTCTTCTGAAAAGCATTAAACAATAACTATGAAGATTTTTATACTCTCTGAAGGAAGGCAATTCTATAAAGCCTTATTAATTTCACTTTTTTGTTTTTTCTAGGCGAGGTTTCTCTGAGTAGCCCTGGCTATCCTGGAACTTGATCTTCGGACTGGGCTAGCCTGGAACTCACAGAGACTCCCCCCTGCCTTTGCCTCCCATGTGCTGGCATTAAATGTGTTTGCCACTGTTCTGGCCTCCAGCTTCAGTATACTTAAGCCGACAAATATTCTTTTTTTTTTTTTTTTTTTTTTTTTTTTTGGTTTTTCGAGACAGGGTTTCTCTGTGTAGCTTTGCGCCTTTCCTGGAACTCACTTGGTAGTCCAGGCTGGCCTCGAACTCACAGAGATCCGCCTGGCTCTGCCTCCCGAGTGCTGGGATTAAAGGCGTGCGCCACCACCGCCCGGCTTTTTTTTTTTTTTTTTTTAAAGATTTATTTATTTATTATGTATACAGAACAGGGCGCCAGATCTCATTACAGATGGTTGTGAGCCACCATGTGGGTGCTGGGAATTGAACTCAGGACCTCTGGAAGAGCAGTCGGTGCTCTTAACCTCTAAGCCATCTCTCCAGCCCCCAAATATTCTATCTAACATTTGCTAATATAAGCTATGGAGTGCCGGGATTAAAGGCATGCCCGGCAGGAATAATTTTTAACATGTTGTGGTTGTTAAATCTTGACAATGTTACCACTTTAAAGTTGAATGTTGTGACACACATCTGTGATCTCAGGGTTAAGGAGGCTGAGACAGGAAAATCAGAGGCCAGTAAGATTTGCATAGGAAGACTCTGTCTTTGAATTAAAAAAAAAACAAAAACAAAAACAGAGTGTGTGTGTGTGATATTCAAAACCTCTTTACGTCAAAATTTCAAAATGTATCTTCCTATACTAAATTTAACATTTCCAGAAAAAAGCAAAACAGTCATTTTTGGTAGTGGGGTTTGTTTATTGAAACAGGATCTTTCTGTAAGATCTTCATCTTCCAGAGTGCTGAGGAAAAAGTTCATTTTTTTTTTACAGTAGGGAGATTGCACCTAGCGCCTGAGGGAGGCAGGAGGCCAGGGGAAAGTCCACTTTGAAATCTTGCTTCCTTCAGTATTTTAGTTTCATTTTTAAATTATTGTTACCATCAGGTCAGAAGAGGAAAATCATAAAATGAGAAAAGACACGCAATTTAAATCTTTTGTACAGCTATGTCTCTTTTTAACATAAACAAATAATCTAGCAGGGTGATCGTGGCGCACACCTTTGATCCCAACACTCAGGCGGCAGAGACAGGCGGCTCTCTGAGGCCAGCCTGGGCTACATAGATCCAGGACAGCCAAGGCTACACAGAGAAACCCTGTCTCAAAAAAACAAAAAGAAATAATCTATAAGAATTGTCTTTTAGTGTGTATTAATGTGTATTTATGTCTGATTTACATACACTTTTTTTTTCTTGAGACAGGGTTTCTCTGTGTAGTGTTGGTGCCTGTCCTGGATCTCGCTCTGTAGACCGACCAGGCTGGCCTCGAACTCACAGAGATCCGCTTGGCTCTGCCTCCCGAGTGCTGGAATTAAAGGCGTGTGCCACTGCCTCCCGGTTTACATACATGTTTACATATGCACTGCAGGTTACTCCAAATATCCATGCTCAGCTACATCCTCTTATTCTTTTCCACATGTCACGATCGTCTGATCCTCCAGAATGCTTTTAGAAATTCTGGGAAAGAAAAGTTTATAGAATGTATAATTCTTTCGTATTATAAAAAATGAACATCTCATTAGCTGCATACTACATACACTTCAAACAGTATGAAGGTAGAGAGAGCTGAGTGATTTGATCACCTTCCAAGAAACAGGGCGTGGTAGCTCATGCCTGTAATTCCAGCTCTGAGCCGGCTGAGTTAGGAGAATACTGGGTTTGAGGACAGCCCTGGCTAACACAGAAGACTAGGGGTGGGGTGAGGCAGTGGGGGTATGATAATAAAACTAAGAACTAATGCAAAACATGGTCAGGAGTTTAAAACAATTCAGGAACTGTCATGTTTTCTGAGGAACACCTTGTTATATTAAAAAAATGGGGCTGGAGAGATGGCTCAGAGGTTAAGAGCACTGACTGCTCTTCCAGAGGTCCTGAGTTCAATTCCCAGCAACCACATGGTGGCTCACAACCATCTATAATGAGATCTGGTGCCCTCTTCTGACCTGCAGACATACATGCAGGAAGAACACTGTATACATAATAAATAAATCTTTAAAAAAAAAAAATGTAAAAGTACGGAACTTTAATGCCCTTAACAAATCAATCATGTTCTTCCTCCTCTAAAGAAAGCATACTGATAGTGGGACTGGATCAGATAGATGTCTTAACTACAGAGCTAGATTTTTTTTTTTTTTTTTGGAGCTGAGGATCGAACTCCTCAGGGCCTTGCGCTTGCTAGGCAAGCGCTCTACCTCTGAGCTAAATCCCCAACCCTAGATTTTTTTAAATTGGTTTTTGTTTGTTTGTTTGTTTTTGAGGCAGAATTTCTCTGTGTAACAGCTCTGGCTGTCCTGGAGTTCACTCTGTAGACCAGGCTGGCCTCACAGAGATCTGCCTGCCTCTGCCTCCTGAGTGCTAGGAACATGGGTGTGTATCACCACTGCCGAGCTCAGAGCTAGATCATTTTAGGGTTTAGGATTCAATAGTTTATTCTTCACCATTTTGGAAGGAGAGAACCGTGTAGCTAAGATAGTCCACGAGTGAACATGTGTAGTTTAAAATAGGACAATTCTTGGAGCCTTTCAAGTGAAACTCCTTAACACTATTTTACCACTTAATGTTTACAGAATTGCTTAGGATGCTGTGAATTCCTTAAAACTATTTTACATAATAACTTAATGTTTACAGAATTTCTTGGGATGCTGTGAACAATGTAAATTTCAGTTTCTCCATGACAAATACTGATCCACACACATAGGATTCAGCTATGGAACCTTCATTTGTAACTGGCTGTTGGCTGTACTTAGAGAAACACTGCTTAAGGCCATTGACTTTCCTTTGATCCTGATCTAGTCTCTAAAAATGATTGGATTCTACCATAAATAGCCAAGTGTGGCAGCATGTACCTATATTCCAGCATATGGTAGGTAAATACAGAAAGATCACTGCAAGTTCACACATGCACACAAACAGAGAATAAATGAGTGTATTTTAAAATTTTAAATGCATTTTAGCTAAAAAAAAAAAAAAGAAATAATAATTTTTCTAAGGGAAACTCCAGCACTCGGGAGGCAGAGGCAGGCAGATCTCTATGAGTTTAGGGCCAGCCTGGTCTCCATTGAAAATTCAAGGCCAGCCAGGGCTACATAATGATAGTGAAACCTTGTTGTGGGGGCGCAGGGAATAATGGGCCTGGTATGATGGCACATAGCTATAATCCCAGAACTTGGGAGATAGAGGCAGGGGGGTCAGAAATTCAAGGTTATCCTTCACTATATAATTAATTCACATTAGCAAACACTAATGCCTACTTGGAGTGTGCTAGAGCAGAGATAAAAAGTTGAATAAAACAGATCATGCCTTGAAGTTCCCAGGTCGGAGATAAAAGCAGATATATGAATAATTATAATAACACAGTGAGAGAAGTACTGTTCCGCAAACAATGTTGTGAGTGGTTATGCTAATAGAATGGGTAAGGTTTCAGAAGAAGCAAAATTTGAGCTGTGGAGAATGAGATTCTATGGCATATAATTTGAAAGTAGTATTGTTAAGGCCAGAATGGTGGCATCTTTGTCCTTAGGCTGAATCTAGCTATCACCTTGGTGCCTCTGAGTAACCTTGATGGAGCCGCCATCCTCAGTTCCATTTTTTGCTTTTGCAACGTTGGGGATAGAACGCAGGGCCTTGTGCGTGTTAGGCAAGAACTCCACCACTGCACTACATTCAGCACTGCCTGCTGCTATTGCCACCCCAAGATTATTCTTTCTCCATGCACCGAATGGCTTTCACATGAACAGCAATGTTTTCCAGGGATGTGTGTGTGACTAACTTTGCTTTTCAAAGATGATTACTATATCTGCTAATCCCTTGAAACAGAAGTTGTAAAAACAAGCATTTCTCTAAAATAACACCTCTGAGTCGGTTCTCCTCAACAGTCTTTAAAATGTAACATTTTTCCGTTTTCCTCCTTATTAAAAGCTGCATTTCTTTGCTGGGCATGGGGGCCCATTCCTTTAATCCCAGCACTTGGGAGGCAGAGACAGGTGAATTTCTGTGAGTGCAGGCCAGCCTGGTCTACTGAGTAAGTGCTGGGACAGACAGGGCTAAAGTAGAAAGATCCTGTCTCAACACCCCTCACAAACAAAAAACAATAAAAAAAAACCCAAAAAACAAAAAAACTAGTGCCCGTGAAGTGACAATATACACACAGTACTAAGAATGGTGTGGAGGAATTTTCATTACCATAATCTTTGTCCTATGGACTGGACAATACACAACTTCCTTAGTCCGAACTAGACAAATATAAAGATAAGATTTCTAACCAGATTCTTGTCTCCTATTGAAAGATTTTGGAGATATCACAGTAGAGTTCTTCCCCCAAATACACAGAAGCATGAGCTTACGGAATTTGTGCAGTGGCTAACTGGGAACAGAAGAACTCTGCTGCTTACCAAGGGTGTACTTTGTTTTGTTTGTTTGGTTTTGATTTTTGTTTTGTTTTTTGTTTTTTGTTTGTTTGTTTTTTCGAGACAGGGTTTTTCTGTGTAGCTTTGTGCCTTTCCTGGAACTCTGTAGCCCAGGCTGGCCTCGAGCTCACAGAGATCCGCCTGCCTCTGCCTCCTGAGTGCTGGGATGAAAGGCATGCGCCACCACCGCCCAGCTGGTTTTGATTTTTAGAGACACGGTTTTGCTGTAAAGTATTTACTTTTTAGTGTTTAGTTTCCTTTAGTACATTCTAGATGAACTTTTCAGAAATGCATCTTCTGGGTACATAAAATGATCCTCTCGTTGTCTGAAGTAGATCATAGAGAATACCCTAACGCTGCATCTCACAGCTAGTCTTGCATTTGCCTCCATTTTAACAGCAACACTTGAAACTGAGCTTTGTGGGAAAGAAGAGCCCCTGGTCAGGAGTGCGGCAGCTCTCTCATTGCAAGTCCACTTCAGATATCCCTGCCTCTAATCCAGAAAGCAGCTATGGCCCGCTTCCTAAGAAATGAGGACCATGAGGAGAACATGCTAAGTATGTCCCTTAGTCTAAGCGAAGGGGAGAGCGATAGGATGGCCAGAGTAACTAAGGCACTCAGTCTAAGAGAAAACGAAGCAGAGGACAAGTTTGAGGATGCCCATGAGATTATCCCTGTGGCAACAACGATGACTCTATTATCGTCCTTGGAAGAATGTACAACTGGATTGTATTTGTTTCTAAATAACAGATTCTCTGATGCAATCAATCTTGTTCACCCATGGTCAAAAAACAGCCCATACCACGCTCTGATATACAGCATGCTCATGATTGTCAAGGCCATCCTGACTTTTGAGCCACAGGATATTCAGATCGGAATGAACGTGGCAAAGGAAGCTTTGAAAACCTGCAACAATTTCCGGAAAAGACCCAGGATAATGACTTTATCTCGCTTAGTGAGTAGGCAGGGAATAAAGTCTGTCAAAGAGGAAGAATTACACGCAGAAGTCTGTTATGCTGAGTGTCTGATCTTGAAGTCTGCCATAACATTCATACAGGATGACAGTTTGCTGAGTTTCCTTAAAAGCGGCATCAACTTTGGGTCCAGCTATCAAATATACAAAGACTGCCAACAGGTCTTAGAACTTATGCCTGATAACCAAAGTAAGACGCACAGACACCTGAATGGAGGGGTAAAGTTTGGCCTTGGCGTATTCAACTTGATGTTCTCCCTTGTGCCGCCAAGGTCGCTTAAACTTCTCAATATTGTTGGCTATTCTGGAGATAGAGAAGTAGGCCTGGCTTTGCTCCACGACAGTGCATCCGAACCTCATATCAACAACATCCTAAGTGTTTTCACTCTTCTCTTCTATTACAATTACGTGCGTGTAGTTTTTGGTGTTGAGAAGGTGTCCACTTCTGCCACAGAGAATCTCTTCCTAATCTACCTGGCGAAATTCCCCAACTGTGTCGTCCTTAAATTTTTTCGTGCACGTTTTAGCATGCTAAATGGAAACTTTGAAACCGCACAGTTAAAATTACAAGAGTGCATTATCACGCAGAATGAATGGAAGCAGGTTCATCACCTCTGTTACTGGGAACTCATGTGGTGCCATATTTTTCTGCAGAATTGGAAGCAGGCATACAACTATGCCAATCTACTGTTTCAACATAGCAGGTGGTCTAAGGCAATATATGCCTACAGCAAAGCTATAATACTGGCCTTGCTTCCTCCTAATTCTGTGAACTCAGAAAATGAGACCATGAATTCGGTCTTCTTACATGTGGATAGCCTGAGAATCAAAATTTTAGGCTCTTCTGTGCCAATAGAAAAATTTATTGCTGAGAAAAGTCAGCGCTATGGCACTACGACAGGCTGGTTTACAGCACAGCCCCTCCTGGAATTCATTTATGCCTGGAGTGGCTTCCGAGTCATGAGCAAGAAAATAGAGCTCATTTCAAGCTGGCTATCAATAATCGACAAAGGAAAAGACCTTTTGAATGAAAATCCAAATGAGGAGTACGGCATAGACGACATGAGTTTGTTAAATTTGCTGAAAGGTCTCTGCCTGAAACATCTGGGCAAACATTTGAAGGCTGAGCACTACTTCATTCGTGTTATCAAGAAGGAGAAACTGTTAAAATATGACCGCTACTTGGTGCCATATAGTTACTATGAACTGGGGATGCTGCATTATCTGAAGGGAGATTATGCCAACGCAACAAGAAACCTAGACTACATAAAGAACTACAAAGACTACTCCATGGAAGCCCGCCTCCAGTTTCGGGCTCATATTGCCCTCGAACAAATAGCTAAATTAGAAAAGTGATTGTGAGCCCAGTGTGCTTCTGTGTAGTGTGAGTGGAGTATTAAGAGTGGAATATCCACACTCGGTCAAGTCATCAATGGGTAGGAAAGTGATTCCTTTGTAAAAAACCAAAATCCAGGAGGCAGCTGCTAAGAATCTGACCAGTAAATAAGAAAGGAATAGGCCATTTCTTTGCCCTCTCTCCTTCTCCTTCTCCATAAAATGCAATGCTTAGACTGAAAACCGGAGTGTTGAACATTCTTGAAAAAGAAAAGGCAAAGGCTGTACATCACAAAAGTATTTATGAGTTTATTACATTTTTAAAACCTCCAAAGGCTTAGTCTCCCCTAGATAATGATTATGTCCTGCCCATAACACAGGGAATGCTTCATTGGTAAAGAAATGACCTCAGTATCTTCCTGTTTCAAAACTACCAGCACACTGAGGAGTATAAACTCTGAAAGGTTGTCCCTTATAAATAACCACTTTCATTGGCTTTTACATCAAAGATAATTTTCCCTTGTGTGATAAGGGATACATTTTTCACTTTTACATGAGGAATAATGAAGTTCTAATGTGAATTTATAATTTGCCAGAGGATAGAGAAGAAAGAAGTCTCCATCCACACATAAACCCTATGATGATAATTGGAGGAGATCAAGAGGATGATAGTCCATTGGCTTAAAAAAAAAAAAAAGGAAGGGCTGGAGAGATGGCTCAGAGGTTAGAGGCACTGGCTGTTCTTCTAGAGGTCCTGAGTTCAATTCCCAGCAACCACATAGCAGCTCACAACCATCTGTAATGAGACCTGGTGCCCTCTTCTGGCATACATGCAGGTAGAACGCTGTATATATAATAAATAAATCTTAAAAAAAAAAAGGACTGGGGACATGGCTTAGCAAATAAAGTGTTTGGTTCCCCAGAACCAGGTCCTGGAGCAGGTGGGGTCCCAGGAACAGGCTGGCTAGTTAGGTGAGCCAGTGTCTGGGAGCTCTAGGCTCAGCTGAGAGACCGCCTCAATAAAGAGGAAAGTAATCAAAGACTGTTACTATCCAACTCAGGCCACCACATGCCTAGGCACAGACACACACTCCCACACACGTGTTCACACACACGTGAACAAGCGAACACAGGCACACCACACACACAACAATTACAAATTAATGAACATTTTTAAGGGGAGGCTGTCAGGAGGTACAATCAGCCACTGACTAACCCTTGTGTCACTGTCCCTCAGGTGTCATTTCTATTTTAAGACCAGCCAGCTTTTCAACATCATTAATCCATTTGATAGGCCAATCTGAGAGCAAGTGGTAGTTATAGATTTGGGACTCAGTATTGCTTTACCTGCCTGGGGGATAAAAACTAGTCCCCAATTTCCAGACAGTTAAGTTGGGCTGAGTCCATCTTCCATCCTTATAGTTACTCCTTGAAACAGATGTTGGGAAAGAGCCAGGCAAGGTGGTCCAGGCTTATAACCCTTGTACAAACAGGCTGAGGCAGGAGGATTCAAGTTCTAAACAAGCCTAGGCTACATAGAGAGACCCCAGGTAAATAAAACGAAACAAAAATGAAGTTGTACTGGGAATGTTGTTTGGTCGTAAAAGTACTTGCCTAACACATGCAAGGCCCTGAGTGATCTCTAGCACCCACCAAAAATAAATATGTATTTTTTTAGTTTCCTAAGTTTGCATGGCTTAAAACACATTATCTTAATGCTTAATGGGCATTGTGTCCAAAGAATTAAATGGAGCACAATGAAGTGTCAAATTACTTCAGATTTAGAAATGCTTGGGTTTTTTTAGATTTATTTCATTTTTAATTAGTTTATGAGGTGGAGGGTGGAGGCAAGAGAGAGGAGTTACAGACAGTTGGGGGCTGCCTAATGTGGGTGTCGGGAATCCAACTCCAGTCCTTCTGGAAAAGGAGTACACACTCTTTTTTTTTTTTTTTTTCTTTGAGACAAGGTTTCTCTGTGTAGCTTTGGCTGTCCTGGAACTCCCTCTGTAGACCAGTCTGGTCTCAAACTCAAAGATTCCCTTGCCTCTGCCTCCTAAGTGCTGGAAGGGATTAAAGGCGTGTGCCACCGCCTTGCTCTTCTCGCTGATTTAATCATATTATTCCATAGTCAAAAATAAACAATTATCTGCAACCCTAGTTATTCATGCATTAAAAAGAAACGGAGTTGGAGTGATGGCTCAGTGGTTAAGAGCACTGGCTGCTCTTCCAGAGGACCCAGGTTCAATTCCCAGCACCCACATAGCACCTCAACTGTCTGTAACTCCTGTTGGGGGATCCAACACCCTCACACAGACATACCTGGAGGCAAAACACTAATGTACATAAAATAAAAATAAAGAATTAAAAAAAAGACACGAACATACAATACCCACTTCTCAAGGGGCTGAGGCTAGAGGGTTGCTAAGACAAAAAAAGAAAGAAAAAAACCTCAGTTTTTAATGCATGTTAATGGATGCTTTTAATTCCATTACTTGGGAAATGGAAGCTGGAGGATTAAGAGTTCCAGGCCAGCCTCAGCTGCACAGCAAGTTAAAGGCCAGACTGGGCTAATGAGACCCCACCTAAAAAATAATTCTAGTTCTTAGCAGAAGACATAACAACAACACTAGAGCACTATTTCATTTTTTAAAAAGATATTTTCTGTGCATTGGTGTTTTCCCTGCATGTATGTCTGTGTGAGGGTGTCAGATCCCCTGGAACTGGAGTTCTAGACAGGTTGTAAGCTGTCCTGTGGATGCTAGGAATTGAACCCCAGGTCCTCTGGAGGAGCAGCCAGTGCTCTTAACTGCTGAGCCATCTCTCCAGCCCCTATAGCAGTATTTCCTGTGTGTGTTTACTGTGTGGGGTCATGTATGTGGGTGTGTAGTGTGGATACACACATGCAGAGGCCAGGCGTCAAGTCAATAGTGTGTTATATGCAAGTATGCGCACGTGCTGGCCAGGCCAGGCACATATATCAGACAGAGGTTGACATTAAAATGTCTTCCTCAATCACTTCTTTATATCATCGTCATCATCATCATCACCATCATCATCATCATCATCATCATCATTTAAGATAGGGTCTCACCATGTAGCTCTGGCTGTCCGGGAACTCAGTAACGTAGACCAGACTGGTTTCGAACTCACAGAGATCCACCTGCCTCTGCCTCTCAAGTGCTAGGATTAAAGACATGTGCCATTACACCCAGCTTCCACCCTATTTTTTGAGACAGAACTCACAGACCTAGGAACTTGCTGCTCTGGCTAAACCCGCTGGCTAGCAGGCCTGGAACCTGCCAGTCAAGGCCCCCAAGCCCTGAGGATACAGAAGCACACTGCCATGCCAGGCTTTTATGTGGGTGCAGAGGATCCAGGATCAGGACCTCATGCTTTCGCAGCAGGGACTTTACACACTGAACCACCTCACAAACCCTCTACCTTGGTTTTATTTGCTTTGGCTTTTGAGACAGGATCTCACTGTGTAGCCTTGGCTGGCCTGGAACTCACTATGCAGGCCAGGCTGGCCTCTACTTCCTGACTGCTGAGATTAAAGGTGTAACCACCACACTCAACCTAAAACACTCTGTGTGTGTGGGTGTGAAAATGCATGGAAGTCACAGAACTTGTAGGAGTTAGCTCTTTCCTTCCACAAATGTCCCAGACATCAAACAGGTCATCAGGGATAGTGTGGCAAGTTCCTTTAAGCACTGAGCAATGTCACTGAGCTGCAGGGGCTCATCTGGCTTCTGGAGAGCACTTTACTAACAGCCGTCACCCCAGTCCATTGTGTCTTTTCTTTTCTTTCTTCTTCTTCTTCTTTTTTTTTTTTTTTTTTTTTGGTTTTTCAAGACAGGGTTTCTCCGTGTAACTTTTGGTGCCTGTCCTGGATCTTGCTCTGTAGACCAGGCTGGCCTCGAACTCACAGAGATCCGCCTGCCTCTGCCTCCCGAGTGCTGGGATTAAAGGTGTGCACTACCACTGCCCGGCCATTGTATCCTTTCTAAAAGTAAAAATTTTATGTGTTTGGGTGTTTTGCTCGCATGTATGTCTGAGCATCACACATGTGCCTGGTGCCCCTGGTGGCCAGAAGTGTCAACTCTTGGGATTTACACACAATTGTGAGCCACCATGTGGGTGCTGGGGATTGAATGCTGGCTCTCTGAAGAACAGCCAGTGCTCCTAACCACTGAACAATCTCTCCAGCCTCCTAATGTATTCTTTTTCCAAATTTGTGTTTTCTGTTTCTCTCTCTCTCTCTCTCTCTCTCTCTCTCTCTCTCTCTCTCTCTGGCAACCTCAGGTGTCATCCTCAGGAAATCCACCCACCTCTTTTTTTTTTTTTTTTTAAGATTTATTTATTATGTATACAGTGTTCTGTCTGCATTTTTGACTGTATGCCAGAAGAGGGCACCAGATCTCATTACAGGTGGTTGTGAGCCACCATGTGGTTGCTGGGAATTGAACTCAAGACCTCAGGAAGAGCAGCCAGTGCTCTTAACCTCTGAGCCATCTCTCCAGCCCCACCCACCTCCTTTGTGACAGGATCTCATTGGCCCAGAATTTGACAATTAGACTAGTGAGCCCCAGGTATCCTTCAGTTTCCACTTTCCAGCCCTCGGATTACAAATGAACACTACCATGCTGTGCTTATTTTTATGCAAACGCTTTATCAATGTAGTCATTCCTAGCCCCTCATCAACGTATTCTTGATGACTAAGCATTAAGAAGGGCTCTACCAGGCCAGAGCATGGCAAACATGGCACCCAACAGGTTTTGCCTTTTTTTTTTTTTTTTTTTTTTTGGTTTTTCGAGACAGGGTTTCTCTGTGTAGCTTTGCGCCTCTCCTGGAACTCACTTGGTAGCCCAGGCTGGCCTCGAACTCACAGAGATCCGCCTGGCTCTGCCTCCCGAGTGCTGGGATTAAAGGCGTGCGCCACCACCGCCCAGCTTGTTTTGTTTTTTTGAGACAGGGTTTCTCTGTGCAGTTTTGGTGCCTGTCCTGGATCTCGCTCTGTAGCCCAGGCTGGCCTCGAACTCACAGAGATCTGCCTCCCTCTGCCGAGTGCTGGGATAAAAGGCGTGCGCCACCATCACCCGGCAATTTTTTTTTTTGGTAGGCCAATTGGTCTTGAACTCTCAAAGATCCACCTACCTCTGCTTCCCAAATGCTAGGACGTGTGACCCACATGCAACTTCAATTTCTGATAGTTTGGAAAGGGTAGGGGAGTGACTTGTCTCAAAAGAACAAAAATAGGTCTCAAAAGAAAACACAGGTCAAACCTTTTATTTAGCAGTAAAGAATGGAGCTTAAAATGCAAGTGAACAGTTGTCACAAACCAGTTTTATTCTGGTTTTTATTCTGCGTTTTTAAAGGTCAAACAGTTCCTCCCACACTCTAATAACTTGGAATTTATATTAGCTCTCTGTAGATTTACAGAGGGTGTTAACTGGCAAAATCTAACTTAATCCATGAAAGCTACACTAATATAAGGAGTCAGTCATTCAATCAGTGAAGGTTTTGAGAAGGATTATTTGATATGGAATTCCAAATAGTAATAAAAAGCTGATTCACTTTTAATGTTTCTGCCCCTTGGCTTGGTAGTCTTCTAGCTCAATTTTTTTTAATCATTTTTTTTTTTTTTTAAGTGTCGGTAGGACCCCAGCATTTACTATCTTGCACCACTTTTCAGTATCATAGTGTCGAAAAAAGATTCTGCAGTAGTCAGAGCCCAATTGACTACGTGCCCAGAAATCTAAGCAGAAGCAAGGGCTGTATCCCTTTCCACCAAAGAGGTTTATAATGAGTGACGGCATTCAGCCCAATCCAACGATGATCTTCCCAGCTTCCGCACCAACCTCGAAACTCACTGCGAGCACGTCCCAAAGGCGCACGCATTTTAACTGCCCCAAACGAGAATCCGCGCCGTTCCCTTCAGCCTCTAGACCTTGAAGATTTACCCAGAGGGCTTTGGTTTGCATCCGTGGCCAAAGCGCATTTCCGTACCCACTTGCATTGAGAACATGGTACGAGCATTTTTCTCTTATAACGATAACTTGAGCTGTCCACGGTGGCAGCGGGAACCCAGGTTCCCTAGCTCACGGACTGCGGCTCCGGTGACTCCGCCCCGTAGCAAGGACGGAAGCAAAGGACTACAGAGCGGAGGATTCTGGGGGGAGGAAGTGACGCCAGGCGCAAAGCATGCTGGGCTCAGGCGGGCCGACTCAAGACCGCTCGGTGGCGTGTGAGCCAAGTGGGGATGTATCGTTGCGCTCCTGGGGTGTTTTCCTCGGTTGTCGCGAATAAGCAGCTGGCCCCAAACCCCGCGGAGACTCTGGTCTACAGAGAGTAGGTGGGAATCCGAGAACTCCGCATCAGTTATGCCTACAAGGGGTTTGGGGCGAAATCCTCTTAGCTAAGGAAAGCTGAGGGTTTGAGTATCATCTGTGGACCAGGGTTCAAAGCCAGGTTGGAGTCGTATCCGGAACTGGGAGAAGAGGGTGGGATGGACATGCTAGAGGAGTTTCAGAATTGCTCTGGCGGCCATTCGCTATTACCGTAGCTCAGGCTGAATTATTAATAACTTTTCTTTTTCCGGATATGGTAAAAAAAAACATTCTCAAGAATTCTCCACAGTATCAGTTTCTTATACTGAAAATGGGCATTTTGGGCCGGGCGGTGGTGGCGCACGCTTTTAATCCCAGCACTCGGGAGGCAGAGGCAGGTGGATCTCTGTGTGTTCGAGGCCAGCCTGGGCTACAGGGTGAGAGCCAGGACAGGCTCCAAAACTACACAGAGAAACCCTGCCTCGAAAAACAAAACAAAACAACAAAAAAAGAGCTTTTTGTTTGTTTTTTCTTTTGAGGCTGGAGACGTACGCTATGTTAACCAGGCTGGTCTCAAACTGGTGGTCTCAGTGTTACTAGTAGGCAGGACTGTAGGTATGAGCTACCAAGACCACAGAGAAACCCTGTCTCAAAATACTAAAAAAAGAAAAAAAAAAAGAAAGAAAGAAAAAGCAAGCAAGCAACTTGCTAAGAATTTGAGGCAAATTACAGACGTCGCTGCCTTCAGAATGGAGATTAAGGGTTAAGACATTGCTTGTGTGGAATATGCATAGTGATTAACCCATACTGGTAATGGTTTTAGTTCTAGCCAGCTGGTAACCATGAGTGAATGGACGAAGAAAAGCCCCTTAGAATGGGAAGACTACGTTTATAAAGAAGTCAGAGTGACAGCCAGTGAGAAGAAGGAGTATAAAGGATGGCTTTTAACTACAGACCCAGTCTCTGCCAAGTGAGTATGCATCTTACTTTCTGGAAGTGACACCGCCGTACTGCCTGGATATCCAAGATGAGAAGGCCGGTCAGTGAAAGGCTGGTTATTCACACCTAACAACTGCTTTTGAGCCTAAGTGCTGTTTTAACTGTGGGTTGCGACAGCAAACTGGACACAGTTACAGGAATAGAACATGGAAATTCTCTCCTTCTGTTCGTCCTTTCACAGGGTCTCACGTAGCCCAGGCTGGCCCTGAGCATGCTGTGTAGCTGAAGATGACCTTTAACTTCATCGGCTGCTACTTCCTGAATGCTAGGGTTAAAGGTGTGAGACATGGCAGCCAACCTTTTTTAAAGGCTCACATAACTCAGGCTGGCCTCAAATTCATTGTGTAGCTGAGGATAAACATGAACTCCTGATTCTCCTCTCTCTGCCTCCCAAGTGCTGAGATAAGTGTGAACCACCGTATCCAGCTGTTAAGAACTTGTGTCAAAAAGTAAAAAAGGGCTGAGGATACATACAGGGTTTCTCTATGTAGCTCTGGCTGTTCTGGAACTTGCTCTATAGAGCAGGCTGGCCTTGAACTCACAGAGATCTGCCTGCCTCTGCCTCCTGATTAAAGGCATGAACTATCACACCAGGCTGAAGCTAATATGACCTTGATATCAGAAGTAGAGGACAGGTTTAAAAAAAAGAAAACTATTAATTCCACTTATGAATTCAAACACCAGAATCTTCACTAAAATACATAGTCTACCATATGTTATGATGTAACAAAAGAATTTTACTTCTGAAGCCAGGTGCAGTGGTGGACAACTTTAATCCCGGCACTCCCAGGCAGAGCCAAGCAGATCTCTGATTTTGAGACCAGCCTGGTCTACATAATGAATTCCAGGACAGCCAGAGCTACAAAGAGAACTTGTTTAAAAAAAAAAAAAAGAACTTCACTTCTGTGCTACTCTCCTAAAAGCCTAGTAATTCCTTTTTTTTTTTTTGGTTTTTTAGAGACAGGGTTTCTCCGTGTATTTTTGGTGCCTGTTCTGGATCTCGCTCTGTAGACCAGGCTGGCCTCGAGCTCCCAAGTGCTGGGATTAAAGGCATGTGCCACCGCTGCCCGGCAAGCCTAGTAATTTGTAGTGTAATTATGAGAACGCTCCATACAACCAAGAATTGAGACGCTGTATAAAACACTTCACAATACTTTTCAGAACTCTCAAGATCACAGGAAGCATGTAAAGACCGGAAAACAGATCAGAAGAGAATAAGGAAACATGAGAACTAAATGTAACATAGGATCTTAAATTGGAAATGTAACCTAAGATCTTGGACTAGATCCTAGAACAGAAAAGGCCCCCAGTGGAAAACTCAGTACTAAACAACACCTGTGGTTTAGTTAATGTAAATTCTTATTTTTGACAGAAGTACCATCAATATTGTACGATGTTAACTCCGGGAAGCTTAGTGAAGAGAGTATGGATACCCTGTAGTGTCTTTATTACCTCCATTAGTCACCAAAAAAATGCACGTTTATGACAAATGGCCCAATTCCTAAAATTTAAGTGATATGGCAGGAATGGCGGCCAAGCCTTTAATCCCAGCACTTGGGAGGCAGAGGCAGGACCATCTCTGTCCTTTGGGACTAGCCTGATCTACGTAGCAAATTCCGAGCCAGGCAGAACTACAGAGTGAGACCCTGTCTCAAAAGAAGAAAAGAAAGAAAACCGAGAAGGTAGGGTCTCAGCAAGTTGACCAGGCAGGCCTCAAGTTTGTGATCCTCCTGCCTCAGCCTTAAGAATAACTGGGGTTATAGGCCTTTGCCACTAAGGTCTGTCCTGGGAGTTTCCTGAGCTTCAGAGTTATTGTCATAAATTTGTCATAGTATGTTGAGCAGTGCTGCCCTATTCCTAGTATTGTGTCCCTTCTGTCTGTCTTACTCTAGTGGGCTGTGGGTGTGGGTGTGTTCTGCGAGGGATTGAACCTAGGATCTCATACAGACAGACATGTGTTCTACCACTTAGTTCTGATCCACTTTCAGCTTTTGGGTTTGATGATCTTCTGACTTTGGTTTTATTTTTATTTTTGTTTTTTGTTTTGTTTTTTCAAGACAGAGTTTCTCTGTGTAGCTTTTGGTTCCTGTCCTGGAACTCACTCTGTAGACCAGGCTGGCCTCGAACTCAAAGAGATAAGCCTGGCTCTCAGGAGGTTTGGTTTTTTTTGAAAGAAAAACCAAAAATGTTTAGATGTTTAGGATCTCAGTGAGGGCTGAGGAGTTAAGTAAAAGCATTTTGTGGCGAGATGGTTAATCGTCCTGGGGGTCAGGTGACCTGTTTGGGTTGATGATGCCCTCATTCCATTGCTTCTTCATAGTTCTGGGGGTTTTTCTTTTTCAAATCTGCTCTGAACTTACTTTTTCTTTAAAGCATTGTCCTCGTGAACTTCCTTGAAGATGGCAGCTTGTCTGTGACTGGAATTATGGGACACTCTGTTCAGACGGTGGAAACGGTGTGTGAAGCGGACTCCAGAGTAAGGGAGCAGCTGGCACATCTGTTCACATCTGGAGATTGTAAAGGGTACAGCCCCGAGGATCTGGAAAAGAGAAAGAACAGCCTAAAGAAGTGGCTGGAGAAGAACCACATCCCGGTCACCGAACAGGGAGATGCACAAAGGACTCTCTGTGTGGCTGGGGTCCTGACGATTGACCCACCATATGCTCCAGAAAACTGCAGCAGCTCCAATGAGATCATTCTGTCCCGCATTCAGGATCTTATTCAAGGCCATCTTTCAGCTTCCCAGTGAGAGGCCGGGCCCTGTGAACGCACTGATCCAAATGACTTCACTGTTCGGTTTTGTGTTAAATGCTTCGAATGTAAGTTGATCGTATTATAGGAGTTCAGAAGCACATGTGGGATGTATGTGTGTGTGCATATGTTAAGTTTTTTGTCTAGGGCAAATCAGATGAGTAGATCCTGAGTGCTGACTTTCCTGGGAAGGAAAGGGTACATGAGTAGCATCCCATGCTCTGAAATTAACACAGGAAGTAATACTTGTAAGGAGCTTTTCTGTGATGAGGATAAGCCATTCTTTTTGTAAAGCAAGAATACATTTTGAATAGGTGTAGCAATGTGAAATAATTTATAAATTTCAAGATAAGATATTAAGGTAAAATCAGTCTTGGGTTCCTTGAACTAACCAAATCTCTGTGTTCTTAAAATGTTGGTCTTTGAGGTTGATAACAATAGCAATAACTCTTTGAATTAGAGTAAACTGTGGTTTGGCTGTGGCTTGTGCCACCCTACAGTCATTAAAGGTACGTCCTAAAGAAGGATTGTGGGACCTGGCCTCAGACTTTGATGATATAAGCTCTTCTGCTATGATGGCTTGGTGCATCTGAGAAATAGAAAATGGAAAGCTCTTAAAAGTTAACATGGTTCGCCGGGTGGTAGTGGCGCACACCTTTAATCCCAGCACTCGGGAGGCAAAGGCAGGCGGATCTTTGTGAGTTCGAGGCCAGCCTGGCCTACAGAGCGAGGTCCAGGAAAGGCGCAAAGCTACACAGAGAAACCCTGTCTCGGAGAAAAAAAAAAAAAAAAAAAAGTTAACATGGTTCATTGCTCACCAAAATGGAGCTGATGCCGCGTTACTGTCCTGGACTTCCACTATTGAGCTAAATTTCTCTTCATAAGTACCCTGTTCCAGGCATTTAGTTCATTTTAGTGACCCAAAGCTGACTAGTAGAGTATATATATATTTTTTTTTTTTTTGGTTTTTCGAGACAGGGTTTCTCTGTGTAGCTTTGCGCCTCTCCTGGAACTCGCTTTGGAGACCAGGCTGGCCTCGAACTCACAGAGATTCGCCTGGCTCTGCCTCCCGAGTGCTGGGATTAAAGGCATGCGCCACCACCGCCCGGCTAGAGTATATATTTTTATGGTTGAAAGTTTTGGCTGTTGGTAAAACCCTTTTTTTTTTTTTTGAAACAGGGTCTCACTATGTAGCTTTGGTTATCCTGGAATTTACTATGTAGTCCAGGCTGGCCTCAATCTCACAAAGATCCACCTGCCTCTGCCCCCTGAGTGCTGGGATTATAAGTGTGGGCCACCACACCTGGCTTTTCCTCACAGCTTTTAATTCACTGACCAAGACTCTAGAAATTTAATAGAGGAAAGAGAATAGGAAATAATTGGCATGATCATGGAAATGATTCTGACCAGGTGACACCCTTGGAAAGGGAGAAGCTATATAGGAAATGAACCACAGCATCACTCAGGCTTGGCCTTGGCTCAGGGACAGATTCTGGTGCATTAGTGTTGGTAGATAGATTGGTTGTCAAACTAGTGTGTTGGGGACATGCTGTTTCTTGGCAACTGAATCCTTAGTTTAAACAATCTGCCTCCAAATAAAAGTGCTGGAGAGGGCAAATGATCCTCTCTGCCGTGGAAACTGCTGCTCCCAGTGCCTCAGCTAAGATGTTCCCAGAGAGGTTCGCTTACCTGCTTCTAACCTTTCCTCAGGGCCGTCAGTTGGAGTTCCAGGACCTGCAGAGGCAGTCTCCCAAAGCTGGCTCCGTTTCCTGCCGGGTCTGGATGGCAGCCAAGGCTGTCTTTGAACATGATATCAACAATACTTTTAAAAAAACAAAAGACTTGGCCTGGAGAGATGGCTCAGTGGTTAAGAGCACAAACTGCTCTTCCAGAGGATCTGGGTTTGATTCCTAACACCCACGTGAGTTGGCACACAACCAACTCTTAACTCCAGTTCCAGGGATATCTTAACACTGGCCTGTGTGGGCACCTGCACTCACAGGCACACGCTTACCCACATACACATAATTTAAAATGAGAAAAATAAATTGTTAAGGCTTCGGGGGCATTCATTCAGCTTTTACAACTTTATTTATATATTTTTTTTAATTTAAATTTTGTTGTTGTTGTTTTGAGACAGGGTCTCACTATGTAGTTCTGGCTGTTCTGGAACTCACTATGTAGACCAGACTGTCCTTGAACTCACAGAGATCAGCTTGCTCTGTCTCCCAAGTGCTGAGATTAAAGGCCTGGCTTGAGCTTTTCAAAAAGTTGTTTTAGAAGCAAAGTTTTTAGTAATTCCCTTCCTATGCAGTTTGTCTGATTTCCTAAATATTCCCACTGTTTCCTAGAGACATTATGGCTGAAATAGATTTTTCACAAATGAAATTTTTTAAATTATTGGAGCTGGTCAGGTGTCTCAACAGGTAAGGACACTTGCCACCAAGCCTGATGACCTGAGTACCACAGAGTTGAAGCAGAGAATTGACTCCTGTAAGCACCCTACCCCCCCCAATAAATCTAAAAATAAAATTGTTAGAAAATTAGAAGCCTTCACAGTCAACTGTTAATTTCTAGAGTGTTGATGGAAATGTGGGATGCTTTGAAACAGATTGTGGGATGCTAGTATGGGCTAAGGATTTCTATCTAATTCCTGCCAAGAACTTGGGAGAAATCAGCATATTGGGGGGCTAAGTTATACATACTTAATTGTTCCTACTTCCAAATATAGTTGATTTTTATAAAATATTAGTAAGAGATTTTGTTTGCTTGTTTGTTTTATGAAAAGTCTCCCAGCTCAGTGAGTAATGTGCCCGTTGCAGAAGCATTAAGAGCTGATGCTGGGACTCCAGCATTCATGTCTGATGTGGAGACACGAACCTGGAACCCCAGTCCTGGGTTGCTGAGTCAGGCAGAACCTAGGCCTTGCTGGTAGCCAGCCAGTCTAGCTGAAATGCCAAGTTCTAGGTTTAGTGGTAGATCCTGTCTTGAACATTAATGAAGGTGGGGACTGGAGAGAGAGCTCAGCAGTTAAGGGCACCTGCTGTTCTTACAGAGAGCCCACATCCGTGGCTTCCAACTGCTGGTAGCTCTCAGAAGAAGGGTTCAGATGCCCTTCTCTGGCCTCCATGGGCACCCGCACGGTGTGGTACACATACAGATATTCAGTACATACATAAATGTTTAAAAAAATCTAAGATGAGAAGTGATTGAGGAAGACATCCTCAATCAACCTCTGAGCTCAGTCTACCTCCCTCATGCACACGTGTGTATACTACACACAAACATGTCGGATGAGAAACTATTTCCTGGTGGTTTTACCACCCTGCTTTATCTATTTCTTTGTTCCTTTTTCTTTTCTCCCACTCTCTCTCCTTTCTCTCTCTCTCTCTCTCTTTTTTTTTTTTTTTTTGGTTTTTTGAGACAGGGTTTCTCTTTTTTTTTTTTTTTTTTGGTTTTTCGAGACAGGGTTTCTCTGTGTAGATTTGCGCCTTTCCTGGAACTCACTTGGTAGTCCAGGCTGGCCTCGAACTCACAGAGATCCGCCTGGCTCTGCCTCCCGAGTGCTGGGATTAAAGGCGTGCGCCACCACCGCCTGGCTTCTCTCTTTTTTTTTTTTTTGAGAGAAGGTCTTGTATAGCCTAGGTGCACGCGCGCACACACACACACACACACACACACACACACACACACAAATTTTTATAGAAAGAGGAAGGGTTAAACTTAAACTTTTCCAGTTCGTGGAAACATTTATGGAGGATTCCAGTAAAGCGTCCAATTTTACATTCTGTCAGCATTGTATGAGTCTCTAATGTTTCCTCATCCTTCCCAGATTTTTTGTTGTTGTTTTTTGTTTTTCAAGACCGGATTTCTCTGTGTAGCCCTGGCTGTCCTGGAATTCACTCTGTAGACCAGGCTGGCCTTGAACTCAGATCTGCTTGCCTCTGCCTCCCGAGTGCTGCCATTAAAGGTGTGTCCCCTCGGCCGGGCGGTGGTGGCGCACGCCTTTAATCCCAGCACTCGGGAGGCAGAGCCAGGCGGATCTCTGTGAGTTCGAGGCCAGCCTGGGCTACCAAGTGAGTCCCAGGAAAGGCGCAAAGCTACACAGAGAAACCCTGTCTCGAAAAACCAAAAAAAAAAAAAAAAAAAAAAGGTGTGTCCCTGGCCATCCAGCGGTTGTTAATGTATGCCCACAGGTGGAGGGCAGAGGACTACAGTACTTTGTAGTTGTCTGTGTACAAGTCTTATGCTGCATGCCCCCCCCCCCTTTTTTTTTTTTGAGCCAGGGCCTTGGTCTTTCTAGGTTTCCCAGGCTGGCTTCAAACTTGCAGCAATCCTCCTGCCTCAGCCTCTCAAGTACACCATCACTCTATTAAACAAGCATACCTTATTTCTGATGGACAGAGGCTTGGGAATCCAACCCAAAGCTTCTTGCATGCTAGGCAAGCACCCTACCACTGAGCTCCATCCCTAGACCCGAGAGTGGAAAAGCAGAATTAGGAAACCTGGTGCCTTTAGTTCCTTTCCTTTTAGTTTCAATAAATAGGTGTCCAGATTCTTCAGCTGCCTCAGAGGCTCTTACGTGGCTAAGTTATGTTCCAGATTGAGTGCATTCGAGTGATCCTCATATCTGTTCTGTGCCCTTGTTCATCTGTGCTCAGAATTTCTAGCGTGTTGACTGATCTACAGCACCTGATTAAATACGCTGCTGTAAGTGAAATTCCAAACAGATGTGGGAGGCATTTCTGCAGCCCCACCGAGGAGTTCAGGATGGCCCTGCAGTGTGCTTCGGTTATAAACTGACTTTTCTGTTGACTAACGAGATTGCATGCTTCAGTTAATCTAATCTCAGCTCTGCTCACTGTAGGAAAAGGTGGCGTAAAGATGATGTAGGAAGAATGGGGGCAGCTGCAGTGTAAGACGGGAGGGCGCAGGAACATCTCGGATTTCCACTTGCTTTGTCCTGGGTCTGTAATCAGCTAGTTTCCTTGTTATATGTGATAGTCCCCTAGTGCTCATCAGGTAGCATGGCCCCTGAAAGGTTATGCCATCTGTCTGCCAGAGAGCACACCACACCTTGGCAGTCTCATGGATAAACAACCCTGAAATCAGTGGATTTTTCCAGCAGATTTTGAGAGGGAAGAGTTAATGTGCCCAGACATGAAGGTTCCTGTTAGATTTTACATATTAGCCAAAGTCTACTAGACTGGACTTTGTGCAGTTAGCATGAAGATAAGGTAAGGGTGTGTGTGTGTATTAGAACTGTCATAATGTGGGCCTAAGTATGATAACGTGCCAATTGTTAGTATCAGCAGTCAGTATCACATACAAATCATACCTTCACATTTTTAAAATAAGTAATTTTTTAAAAAAAGTTCAGAACTGGTAGATCATGGCTTTTAATCCCTTTCCCTCTGTACATAGCTTTTTCCTATGTGTACATATCATTTTCTTGGCCTTTACACTTCAAGTCCCAGAAATGCAATATAAGGTCTTACTCATATAGCATGTTTATTTTATTTATTTGAGTGTGTGTGTGTGTGTGTGTGTGTGTGTGTGTGCGCGCGCGCGCGTGTGTGCGTGCGTGCGCGCGCGCTCACGAATGAGCCGCAGCACACATGTGGAGGTCAGAGGACAGCTTGAGTAGGTATGTTCTCCCTCTGTCGGGTGGGTCTGGGCATCCAGCTCAGGTCAGCTTTAGCAGCAAGTTCCCTTACCCGCTGAGTCAGCTTGCCTGCCCAACATTACATGTTTATTAGAGTTGCTTCGGCAAAGGTTTCACGTTTAGTATTCTAAAACGTTTACATTTTTAGAGATGTCTATTGGTACAATTTGTATTTGAAAAATAAGTTATTATACTTTATAAATGGTTCCTTATCTCATTTTATTTAAATAGAGTTTCCCTTGGCAATACTGGCATTTTAGACTGGATACTGTTTTTGTTTATAACTTTTGGGAGTCATTTCTCTCTCTCTCTCTCTCTCTCTCTCTCTCTCTCTCTCTCTCTCTCTCTCTTTCTCTCTCTCTCTCTCTCTCTTTTTTTTCCCCGAGACAGGGTTTCTCTGTGTAACAGCCCTGGCTGTCCTGGAACTTATTTTGTAGCCCAGGCTGGCCTCGAACCCCCAGAGATCTGCCTGCCTCTGCCTCCCGAGTGCTGGGATGAAAGGCGCACACTCCCACGCCTGGCTTTAGTTCTCTGTTTTTACCATGTGGGTTCTGAGAATTGATCTCAGGTCTGCAGACTTGGCAGTAAGTGCCCTTAACAGCTGAATCATCATCTCACTAGCTTCCAAAAATGTAGTTTTTGGTATGCTCAAAACTTGATCTCAGCTGGACGGTGGTGGCGCACGCCTTTAATCCCAGCACTTGGGAGGTAGAGCCAGGCGGATCTCTGTGAGTTTGAGTCCAGCCTGATCTACAAAGTGAGTTCCAGGACAGGCTCCAAAGCTACACAGAGAAACCCTGTCTCGGAAACAAACAAAAAACCAAAAAACTTGATCTCAGCCGGGTGCATGCCTTTAATCCTACTTTAATCCTAGCACTTGGGAGGCAGAGGCAGGTAGATCTCAGTTTGAGGCCAGCCTGGTCTACAGAGGGAGTTCTGGGACAGCCAGGGTTATACAGAGAAACCCTGTCTGGCGGGGGTGGTGGGGTGGGTATGGGGTGGCTAATGATCTTTACAAAAATGATGTTCCATTTTGGAAGGTTATATGATCACAGCTTCCCTTCTTACATTCCCCAACCACTAAAATAACTCAGCCTTTTGTGGAGATCAAATATGCCACAAAGATTATTTAGTGCTGGGCGGTGGTGGCGCATGCCTTTAATCCCAGCAGAGCCAGGCGGATCTCTGTGAGTCCGAGGCCAGCCTGGGCTACAGAGCAAGATCCAGGAAAAAGGCACCAAAACTACACGGAGAAACCCTATCTCGAAAAACAACAAAAAAGAACAAAACAGAAACAAACCTCATGGTTTGCTGTATTCTTAATGAAAATGTTCATTATTGTATAGAATTATATCATATTTATCCATATTATCTTTGTTGTATGTGGGATGTCACTTTTAGCCCCTTCCTTATCCCTCATTGTAGTTGTAAGATTGAACCGGTGGGCTGGGCTCCCCTCTCATCCCTTCCCCTCTTTTCAAACATTCTACCTCCTGTTGACAAAGCCTGTGGGGGCGGGGCGTGATGTGAATAAGAATGGCCCCCATAATCGCATATTTTGGATGCCTAGTCATCAGGGAGTACTCGGGAGAGACTGGGAGATGTCCTTGTTGGAAGAAGTGTGTCACCAGTGGTGGGTTTTGAGGTTCAGTGTTCCAGGCCCAGTGTCTCTCTCTTCCGGCTGCCTGCAGATCCGGATGTGGAACTCCAGCACTGTGTCCACCTGCATGCCGCCCTGCTTCCTGCCATGACAGTGGTGGACTAAGCCTCTGAAACCAAGCAGCCCACCAATTAAATGCCTTTTTTTTTTTTTAAAGAGTGGTCGTGGTCGTGGTGTCTCTTCACAGCGACAGAACTGACCAAGATGAGTCATTCTTATCAGACCACCAGAAGTTCACCATACAAGGGACTCATCACTGCAGTTTTATTTATTTATTTTTGGAGACAGTTTCTTTGTGTAGCCCTGGCTGTCCTGGAACTTTCTTTACAGATCAGGTTGGCCTCGAACTCACAGAGATCCGCCTGGCTCTGCCTGAGTGCTGGGGTTAAAGGCGTGTGCCAACCACCACCCAGCTACAGTTTGACATTTATGATTCCCAAAGAGGGCCTGGAGAGATGGCTCCGTGGGTAAAGGGCTTGCCACACAGCATGGGGACTGAGTTTGAACCCCCAGCTCCCCTGTAAAAAGCCAAGCTTGTGAACCTGTCACCTCAGTGCTGGGTGGAGCAGAGGTCGGTAGATCCCTAGAGATTGATGGCTAGCCGATCCAGATACATTAGTGCCTTCCAGGATCAGTGAGAGACCCTGTCTTCAAAACCAGGGTAGAGGAGCTGGAGAGATGGCTTAGTGGTTAAGGGCACTGGCTGTTTTCACAGAGGACCTGGGTTCAATTTCCAGCACCCACATGGCAGCTCACAGCTGTCTGTAACTCTAGTTCCAGGGGATCCGATACCTTCATGCACATAAAGTTAAATAATATATATATATATATATATATATATATAATAACAATATAACAAAATATATATGTAATATATAATATATATATATACACACACACGCATATATAAAATAGGGTAGATGTTGACCTCTGCCCCTCACACCCCTCCCCCACCACCAAGTCCCATACCTGTCTGGTCCACACAGTGAGACCCTGTCTGAAAAACAGAATAGCAAGAGCTAAGGATACAGCTCAGTGGTAGAGTACTTGCCTAGGACATACAAGGATCTGG